TTAGGGGGGCGTGGCAGAGTCTTAACTTTGATAAAGAATATCTCTTTGGTTTTGAGACTTTAGTCTTTGCAACTTCAGGGATCTTATCTATTCACAAGCAGCTTGTAACACTCCAAAGAGAAAGAACAACTTGAAATTGAATCATATGACCCCTTTAAGTATTTAAACTAGCAGCTTCAATATTAGATGCAACGATAATAGAAGCAATGGATGCAATGTACGGCTGCACGATAAATCGCATGCGATATTTAATGCGCATCTTGTCAGTAAAGCCGGTGATTACAAGATGCGCATTAAATATCGCATGCGATTTATCGTGCAACCCTAATGCAATGTTAATCTTATCACATTACATACTCTAGATCTATAGAGCATCTGTGTCTGATTTAATGATCAAATCCATTTTAATGATCAACGCATTACATGAGAACTTTTCCACAAATAATTTAACTTCCTACAACAATGTCAGGGTCCTTAAAGTCTTAAAATGTCTTAAATAAAGTTTTCCTAAAATAAGGCCTTTAAAAGTCTTAATATCTTAAATTCAGATTCAGTAGGTCTTAAATATTTTTGGTCACATTACCACAAACATTTCTCCAGTCTGTCGAACACCAGCTCGCTGTCCAGCCTCCGATCTACTTTAAATGGGTTCATGCAAGTTTACTGAAAAATGTCTTGAGAATGGCTTGCCCGACAGGACTAATAACCTGATTAAAACTTGTGACAAAAAATAATCACGCATCAAAACGCGCGAATGATTCTTCTGATTTGATTACATTCAGCTTAAACAGCGATTGATAATTGATAGTGTATTTCTATGATCACTGTCGCGCTGTTGAGGCTCGTGCTGCCTGTCTCTGTGAGAGACTTTCATGGAGAAATCAAATCAAATGAGCGTACCGACACATAAAGAAACTCACAGAACAAACATACTGAGGTAAAAATTCAAAATGTTTAGTATATTCATAGCATGATATAGTTAAGTAACATACCATGACAAGGGAGCTATTTTGCTGAATATTTTCACGATTGCAAATGTTACATTGATTTTAGTTCAACAAGCAAGTAGTAAAGTATATGAAGTTACTTATATTTTTAGACACACTGACTGTTTTGTTCTATTTCACCAACGAAAATAGTTCCAAACAAAGATCAGAATAGAATTATTGCGCACACTCTCCAAGCAACACTGGCGTTTTTGTTACTGAATGATTCAGCGGTTTGTAGGAATCTGTTTAAGGAATAAGTGACTTACCGCCACCTACTGTTGGTTTAGTCTCATGCTTAAAAGTATGCATTTTTCCCCAACATTTCTTATTTGTATGTTCAAATTTTTATTTACAACATTAATCCCATAACATTATTTATTGCTGTTGTAATTTTGTAATTATTTAATTTGATTGGTAACAGCCCTGTAGTGTATTACATTTCTAGATCAATTGTAAGAATTTGACATGAAAGATGACACATACATTTAATAAGGTAAAAAAAAAAAGATTGGCCTTTATAAATGTGAATGACATCCTGTGGTAAATATTAAAAACATGCAGATTTAAGTATGTAAAAGCTGACAGAAAACTGATGAAAATATTGCTTCAGAATAAATTGTAAAATCGCGGTGATGCGACACTTTTGTTTTGTGGGAATATTTTGTAAGGGATATTGTCTGCTGATATGAAAAGTTCACTGTATATCGTAATAAACATCCTGTGGTAAATATTAAAAACATGCAGATTTAAGTATGTAAAAGCTGACAGAAAACTGATGAAAATATTGCTTCAGAATAAATTGTAAAATCTCGGTGATGCGACACTTTTGTTTTGTGGGAATATTTTGTAAGGGATATTGTCTGCTGATATGAAAAGTTCACTGTATATCGTAATAACAAATAGCATTTTTGACAGCGATGATATTTTGTTTTCTTTTTACATTTAAACGCTGTAAATATTACATATACGTACGTAATATAATGTGTATTTCCATCACAGGCTTGGTCTTAAATTTCACATAAAGTGGTATTAAAAAGGTCTTAAAAAGTCTTAAATTTAACTTGTTCATATCTGTAGACACCCTGCATGTGCATTTAAAACTGTGTGGTGTTTGCGAAAAAACTCTTAAGGCAGAGTGATCTCAAAAGCTTTGCAAGGGGAAATGAATAGATACTAAGGTGTAATGGACCTAAAATTGAACCTTGGGGGACACCAGTATGAACAGTGACAACCTCAGACCTGTAACCATCAATGGAAATAACCTGGCTACGATCAGAAAGAGCTAAACCAATGTAAGGCTGTCCCAGAAACACCAAAGAACATTTCAAGATGGGTGAGTAAAAACAATGATTCGAGAGACCGTTTCGTGAAGCTAGGAGAGGAGGTAATTCTGACTTTGCTATGACAATCTGGTGCTTCTGAATCAGCTACCGTTTTGTTATTAGTTTAAGTATTTGCTATTGACTGTTCAAATGCAGAGTTTTGCACATCGTGTGTGTGTGTGTGTGTGTGTGTGAGAGTGAGAGTGAGAGAGAGTGAGAGAGAGAGAGAGAGAGAGGGTCACATCACAAACACATAGCAGCTTCATCACTGTGTCTGTCACGCAACTCTGTTCCCCTTTCAGGCTCTGTCTTTACATTTATTTTGAAAGCTGAAGCTGGCGATTATGGTAAGGGGCGTTACATTTCCGACGAGTGCTTGCGGTGTTCGGCCAATCACAATGCACTGGGTCAACTGGCCAATCAGAGCAGACTGTGCTTGTTGGAAGGAGGGACTTTGTAGAAAACGAAGCGTTTGAGAGAGGCGGGGCATAGAGGACCTACAATAATGTACAGTATTTGAAAAATAATGTTTTTTGAACATTAAAGCATGTCAACATATTCTGTTACACCAAATAATGATCTTTAAAAAAGCATCATATGACCCCTTTAAAGTGCTTCTGCTGAGCCCAGGAGAGGTGAGACGGAGCCCAGCTTTGCGGCGCATGTTTATCATCCCTCTTATTATAGAGACGCTTGTCTTCACGTGGCCAGTAGAGGGCAGCATTGGCTCTGCTCTGAAGTGTCCCTGTCCCTACAGGAAGTAGCTGTGAGGAGCACAGTATTCAAGACTGCAGTGGAGGAGGAGGAACAGGAAGCTGAAGTCATTGACATCAGACCTGCTGGTGAAAGAAACGCTCCTCAAAGCACACATCCACTTTGTGTGTGTTTGTCTGTGAGTGAGTGAGTGTGTGTGTGAGTCTGTCTGTCTGTCTGTGAGTGTCTCTCTCAGTGAGTGAGTGTGTGTGTGTGTGAGTGTGTCTCTCAGTGAGTGAGTGAGTGAGTGTGTGTGTGAGTCTGTCTGTCTGTCTGTGAGTGTCTCTCTCAGTGAGTGAGTGTGTGTGTGTGTGAGTGTGTCTCTCAGTGAGTGAGTGAGTGAGTGTGTGTGTGAGCTGCTGGCTCAGTGATCTGCTCTGTTTCCACAGGGAGACCCTCATACTGCTAAGAGGGGTTGTGCGATCATGTGATCAGAGCTGCCAGCTGAACCACCTTCCTATGTGGCCCATTTTCTGAGTGAATCTTTTTTTTTGTTGTAATTATGCTTTTTAAAGTCTTTTTTACTTCAGTTTGTTTCAGATTTTGTGAAACATTTATCCGCTTAAATTGAATGAACCAGATGTTTTTCTTTTTGTTTGTAACGGTGAGGATTTAAAAAAAAAAATCATGTTCATATAAATTTTATAAGATGGCATTTGAGGTCTCTTTTATAGACAGATTTATAATGGCTCATAGTTTTTAGTGAGATTATTACAGACCTTAGACACATTTGCATGCTAGTTTGAATATGGAAGTGTCATTGTATTTAAAGCAGCTGTTCAGAAGTTCACTACATGATGACGCATCTCTTCTGCAGACCTCTCATCCTCAGAGCTCAGGAACATGTAGCACAGGTCTGATTTTATCCTGCAGAGCTGGACCATGAGTGCTTTGTCTATTCCTGCTGAAGAGATGCAGCATTAGGTCTCTCTTCGACTGTATGTCTGCGTGAGGCCGTGTGATCGATGAAAACACTTCCGTTAAACCTCAAGATTCAGTACTGCATGTTTTTTACAGATCAGATTGTCAGAGCTGAAGTGTTATTTTGTACTGCTTTTGTCTGTACTATCTAATAAACACTAGCCTTACACATACACTGTTGATTTTTAACCTTTTATTTTAAGAAATGCATGCTATATTTTGCTGCAGCCTTTATACTTCAAATTATCGAATAAAGTGTTGAATGTATTTTCAGGGTTTTCTTTCATTACTCTTGGTCGCTAATGTGCACGTCTGATTTGTGAACACGAGAGGTTTTAGAAAAGCCCTCTCAGCAGCTGCTCGGTCTTATTTCTGGTCATGAAAGCACGGCTCCTGCTTGAAAGAGGAATGAACAAAGTGTTGGATGAGCTTGATTCAGTATCTGATGACGATGCTGTCATGTAGTTTGCTGCTTCAGCTGACATCTGTCTTTTTACAGTTCTCTTTGTCCAGCGAATGCTTTCTGGAGCAGAAGAGCTGCTTGAGCTATGTATAAAACACAGTATTGTGTTAAAAGCCCCGGACGGAGCTGGGACAGTCCACAGGAGAGCAGCGATTCTGCAGATGTTTAAAGGGTCATGGAACCCTAAAACACATTTTTTTGAGATGTTAACATATGTACAGGTTGCACATCAGTAAAAACAATAATAGCACTAATTATATCTATTATTAAGGGAGAAGTGGTTATTCATTTTTTGGAGTCATTTTGTTCTTGTTCAAAAAGCAAAGTTGAACCAACAGTGACGTGTACGTGTATTTGGAGGTGATTGGCTGCTGTCTTAATAACACAACATCAGTTATGTGGCTGACTACATTAACACCATAATATACAGTAAAAACTGTTTCGTTCCTAATTCAGAGACATATATTTCTGTAGCAATCATTGGCCACTGGCTTATTGATGTGGAGAATGCACTGCAGTCATAACACAAAATGAATACAGAAAAATACTTTCTATTAGAAATCTTTCTATTAATTCAATGCCGGTAACGACAAGCGCCAGAGGTTTACATCACGCAGTTGAGCATTATGTGATTCATTCACAACAAAACTGAAGAAAACATCTGCCTTCATCTCCCAAATGTATTATTTTATCTTGCATCGCATAATGAAATGGGTCGAGCTCAGTGCGGATTGTTTTCTGTGAGCTAGATGAGTGCAAAGGATAGTGGGTGATTGGACGCTTGATGCTTCCTTCAGAATGATGCGACTGAAGGTGATGACGCAGAGAGAGCAGGATCAGGTGCAGCTGGCGCTTCTCCAGACGCTACTGAGCCTCCTCCAGACGCTGCTCCAGGAGCGCTGCGTTCACACGATGCTGCATCAGAAACTGTCCGTTCAGGTGAAAGACCGGGATGTGCTGATGATATCTGTCAAACCAGACTCTGTTCTCCGGCCGAGTGATGTCCACCTCCTGCAGCTCAAACTGACACACACACACACCTGATCAAACCTGCAGCTCACTGACACACACACACACACACACACACACACCTGATCACACCCGCCGCTCAAACTGACACACACACACACACACACACACCTGATCACACCCGCCGCTCAAACTGACACACACACACACACACACACACCTGATCACACCCGCCGCTCAAACTGACACACACACACACACACACACACACAAACCTGATCAAACCTGCAGCTCAAACTGACTCACACCTATACACACACACACACACACACACACACACACACCTGATCAAACCTGCAGCTCAAATTGACACACACACACACACACACACCTGATCAAACCTGCAGCTCAAATTGACACACACACACACACACACACCTGATCAAACCTGCAGCTCAAATTGACACACACACACACACACACACCTGATCAAACCTGCAGCTCAAATTGACACACACACACACACACACACCTGATCAAACCTGCAGCTCAAATTGACACACACACACACACACACACCTGATCAAACCTGCAGCTCAAATTGACACACACACACACACACACACCTGATCAAACCTGCAGCTCAAATTGACACACACACACACACACACACCTGATCAAACCTGCAGCTCAAATTGACACACACACACACACACACACCTGATCAAACCTGCAGCTCAAATTGACACACACACACACACACACACCTGATCAAACCTGCAGCTCAAATTGACACACACACACACACACACACCTGATCAAACCTGCAGCTCAAATTGACACACACACACACACACACACCTGATCAAACCTGCAGCTCAAATTGACACACACACACACACACACACCTGATCAAACCTGCAGCTCAAATTGACACACACACACACACACACACCTGATCAAACCTGCAGCTCAAATTGACACACACACACACACACACACCTGATCAAACCTGCAGCTCAAATTGACACACACACACACACACACACCTGATCAAACCTGCAGCTCAAATTGACACACACACACACACACACACCTGATCAAACCTGCAGCTCAAATTGACACACACACACACACACACACCTGATCAAACCTGCAGCTCAAATTGACACACACACACACACACACACCTGATCAAACCTGCAGCTCAAATTGACACACACACACACACACACACCTGATCAAACCTGCAGCTCAAATTGACACACACACACACACACACACCTGATCAAACCTGCAGCTCAAATTGACACACACACACACACACACACCTGATCAAACCTGCAGCTCAAATTGACACACACACACACACACACACCTGATCAAACCTGCAGCTCAAATTGACACACACACACACACACACACCTGATCAAACCTGCAGCTCAAATTGACACACACACACACACACACACCTGATCAAACCTGCAGCTCAAATTGACACACACACACACACACACACCTGATCAAACCTGCAGCTCAAATTGACACACACACACACACACACACCTGATCAAACCTGCAGCTCAAATTGACACACACACACACACACACACCTGATCAAACCTGCAGCTCAAATTGACACACACACACACACACACACCTGATCAAACCTGCAGCTCAAATTGACACACACACACACACACACACCTGATCAAACCTGCAGCTCAAATTGACACACACACACACACACACACCTGATCAAACCTGCAGCTCAAATTGACACACACACACACACACACACCTGATCAAACCTGCAGCTCAAACTGACACACACACACACACACACCTGATCTAACCTGCAGCTCAAACTGACACACACACACACACCTGATCAAACCTGCAGCTCAAACGGACACGCACACACACACACACCTGATCAAACCTGCAGCTCAAACTGACACACAC